GTTTCTGAGATGAAGGATTGCACTGGCTTGGGGACGAAGAGGGGGCATTCTTTATCAAAGCGACTAAACATTATATCTCGTCAGATTCGTATTGTGCGGTCCACCTCTATTGACGTCCTTGTTCGTCTCTTTTCGCGAAATGCATCTAATCTAGAGGTTAATGTTTCAACATGCGGCAGCGTCTTTTGGACGAAGTCCTTGCTTAATTGCATTCGCAGTCTTCTTTTCGAATCCTCTGACTGCCTCATTATTCAACCATCCAATGATACGTCCTCATTTTATTCGTCAACTCTACAGGATTACCCTTTGCTCGAAATCAAGAATATTGAAAGAGATGCAGTAGCCTCTCCCAACCATCCTGTTTTACGACTCGCACTTATGTGGTCGCGTCATCCACTTTTTATTCAAGAATTTTTAGCTGCACAATTAATTCTTGTTGCGAATCTGACCAACCTTTTGGCCAATCCCAAATTGACGACAGCGACTTCAGCTCCTCTAGTTGAAATAATTCATAATCTAGCTTGTGTTCCAGGCATGTGAACTATTATCCATTGTTGACTTAAATATGTTTGATGGTATTGGCTATCTAATATGAACTTCTTATTATTTAACTTTATCCTGTAGTTTTATGCGAAATCGGAAGGTCTATTCTTCATCCGGGCATCAATTGTCTTATTGATTACGTGTCCTCGAAAATACTTCGACTGCGGAGCCTAGGAAACACACGGGCTGTTGTTGAGAGTAGCAATTTGAAGAAAAAATCGGTTTCCCTCAGTACAACTCAGAAAGAGTTTCAAATTCTTGCTTATCTAACCTCGGATGAACTCATATGCTCAAATTTGGGTGTGTTTTTCATTTACTTTATTTGACTAAAAGTTCTGGATCAGTCGTATTATACTGGGATTTTTTTGTCGCAATTCGAATTTTGAATTTGTTTGTTAGAGAATATTTGGTTATTAGTGGAGTAAGGAAGACGCCACTAGAATATATACTGTTGTTATATTGCTCAGGTATCAAGGATATGCACATGCGTTCTACTTTGCAGTATGCCTTTTATAACGTTTTTTTT